CTATAAAATATTTTCCTAACAAAATTTTGTAATTAATCTAGAATGTTTTTATTTTTATGCACATTTCATTTATTTTGACTGCCAAGGAAATAAGCGAATGTCCTCCAGATGGAAAAAGGTTGTGAAGAGAATTTCACTAAGCAGGAGGATTATGCAAAGGAGATAAGAAGCCAAGGTGTGAATGAGTTAATGAAAGGGAATTTGAAGAAATTTTACAAGAGGTAGTAAAACAGCAGAGGCCATTTATTACAAAATGAAAAAAAAAGAAAAGAAAAAGCATTGCTGGGGTTGGTCAGGATGGATTTAAATAAAGAAATATACACCTCCCCACAAGGAAAATACTGAAAAGACCACCAACATATAGACCTTGAATACTGAAGATGACTGCTTGACTATCATAAAAATTATGTAGCAATGCTGAATCTTGAGTACTATACAGTATCTGACAATGCTGCCAATAAGAAGCATTACCAATGGCATCTAATGTGTAGCTGAAATCCCGAAGGCAGCTATAATAATCTGGGATGTTCTCAAAGGATTATAGATTTGTCATAACAGATCCAATTACTGACTCATAAAATTTGGTATTTTGCCTTGGGCAGTTTCTGCTGCTACAAAATTCAGTCTCCAATACCCATAATGTCACTTAGGCATTTCTATAAAATAGAAAATTAATTATAAACCCTAAAAATTTCTAATTTTCCTTTATTTGTTTGCAGCAAATTTGTATTCCGTTTACCTTTTCCAAAACAAATCAATTCAGCATGCTTATATAATAGTTTAAAAAACCCATTTTTTAAATATGATAGAAATTCTATTTCACAGGGACAAACAAAAATACTCACATGCTAGTAGCTTAAAGTTGTTTTTTTATGCCAGTTCCTAACCACCCCTTATCAGTCTAACAGTGTAACCATCCCTTATCAGCCTAACAGTGCAGTGATGTATTACTTCCCCTGATTAGATGCTAGTTAGTGAAAGGAATACTTTTCCTTCCACTCTGGGTACCGGTCAGAGAAGTGGAAGTAGGTTTGAATCTGTCAGTCAAAACCCTGCCCAAAAAGAGGGGGGAGGGAGTAGCGCAGGATCTACATATTTTTAGCCAGATATTTGCCCTGAGAAACGTTTGTTTTGTAGGTTTATCCTTGGCAATTCTTTCTCTCTGCCCGCTTGCATGATAATAACGACTTCACTTATGGAGGAAAATAACCAGGATGTTGAAATGATACTTGCAAACTGGGGGGAGGGGGGGAGGGCAGGAGACAGAATCTTATGAAAAATACAAAGAATGAAGTAATAACATTTTTTCTCTTTTTTATTTTCATTTAGCCACCACATGCTGCCCTTATTAATGAAGCCCAATTCCCGGAACACTTCTAAATATTATGTCTAGCTTTTCAAAATAATTGTTGACTCTTTCTGAACTTTTTGTGGTGTTTTTATCGTACTGGCCCACTGTCAGTTTGTAGCCATCTTACTGCTGTTCTTTCTTCCTATTTTCTCTTAACAAAATCCCAACATTCTTCCCCAAATAATAATCAATTGAGTAAATGGTGCTGCAGATCCACAGCCATGCATTGCAGATGCCCTTACCTCTTTAAGAACAAGGACGCAATTCCCAGGTCCTACAGACTGTGGGAGTTCTGCAATTCTCCCTTTGTTAAGATAAGGTCCTGAGAAGCATCGGTGGTTAAAGTAGATCTTTGGGCAACAGTATTTACCATTTGTTATAACTGGAAAAATAAAACAATTTCTGAATGCAAACATCTACTTAAAACATTACTTACAAAAGGTCAATGAATCAACAGAAAATAAAGTAACAGGCAGTTCCCCATATATAATGTACAGCAGCTGTCTCCAACATTTTTGGCATCAGGGACTGGTTTCATGCAAGACAATTTTTCCATGGACCAGGGGTGGGGGGGATGGTTTCAGTTTTGTTC